TAGTATATATGCTCTGAGCATTAGCTACATGACAGACCCACTGGCCAGGATTAATCTGCCAAGACCCTCTTGTACTGGTCATGTGTTTTATCAAGTCTTTTCTGTCAAACCAGCACATAACAACATTATTCACTGTTGCTGTTTTCCCTCACTGCCTGATTAAGAGGGAGATAAACTGCAACAAAGTGGTGATTTTCTTCCTAACTATGTATCTTGCATGCTTTGACAGGAAAGTACCTCTTGAACTTTAAAATACTTCTCTCAGCATTTAAACATGTAGTTGGACTGCACCAATGCGTAGGACAAAGATTATTTTTAGATGGAAAAAAAGGTACTAGTGTGCATCTCATATGGCAAATTTTAAAGCACTTCATAGGGAGAAAACCCAGAAACCTTCTTTAGCAGGTCTTAAGTTTGCCAAAATAACAATATCAAGGTGCAGATTCATAAAAAAAAAAAAAAAAAAAAGCAAACAAAAAAAATCATGAAGATAAGCAGTTTAAAAGACTGCAGACTGTAAAATTTGGCAGCCCTGTGTTTGATTTCATTACTCTGTCATTTCTGGGCTATAATTTCATCCAAAACATGTGACATTCACTAGTTTTTCCACAAGCCTCCATTTCTAATAGCACACAGATGGAGGACAGTAACATTTTCAGCTGAATAATAATGTGCTGTTATGTTGCCTGAAGGCTACGCTGTTGCCTGCAAACTCAAAGTTGCTGTCTTACTATCTTTTTTAGTTTCACTCCCTAATGAGATAAACTGTAAACAAAACCAAAAGTGATGCCTGCTAAAAATAGAAAACTATTATCATGTAATAAGAGGACCTCTACAGCAGATAGTTGTGGTTAAAAAAAGAAGATTGGATGAATTTAAAAGCATTTAAGGCTACAAATCTTCAAGTATCCTCTGGTGTGAGGGGGTCACAGATGTAATAAGAGCCCCTCTGACCCAGCTCTTGAGCTCCATTTAAAGTATTAAAGCAGTAATACTCAGGGGAGATGCTGAGGGACAATGACTTTTCCAACAGAAAAAATGGTGGTGAGCTGAGTTTCAAAACTCAGCGAAGAACCAAAAGTGTTTCCAAAGCTGAAAATAAATCTAAAATTGGCGTTTGGAAAAACTTTTTTTTCCAGCGGATCTCGGCAAGAGTCAGTCAACGAGCACAAAGCTGGCTGTCCAGAGAGCTGCGAGTGATTCTGACAGCTGCCTGACTTCTGAGGGTGCAGGTAAAAAAAAAAAAGACTGCTGCAACTCCACTTTCTGCTATTCAAAAAACATATTAAAAATTAAGTTGTTTTTATCCTTGGCAGATTTAGAGAAGGTCGTCCGTGCTTTTATCTCGCCACATCGAGACAACTGCAGAAGTCACCCTCATGTCTCCAGCTAGTTAAAGATACAGCTGCAGCCTCTCTCGAAAAAATAACGTTTCATTGACACTAAATTCTACAGATACTAACTGGGATGGACTGGTGACAGGCTTTTTAAATAAGAGGGATACAATAGAACTGCCAGTTCAAAAAAGGTTTTCTTTCTTATTTTTATTTCATCTCTGTCTACCTGGAAACGCAGGATTGGCATACCAAACAACCCCCTTTTCCTTTAACAGCCATCATGCAATGCTTTGCAGGTCTTGCATTAAGAACATATCTTGTTTGTTTGGCTTTGCTTATATTTTTAACTCTTGAAAACAAGTATTCAACAGCCAAAGCATATAAAATAATTTAGTCTGGCTACATGTCCACATTTTCAAATATTTACATGTCGATCCAAGCTGAATACTAACAGAAAACAGGTATTTTCAATGCCAGCTACCTACTAACAAAGCTGTATACTATAAGCACTTCAAAGAGCACTATGCAGCCACAGTGAAAACTGCATTATATTCACTGGAAAACTCTCACTCAGCAATGGTGGCAGCAGTATTTGCATAAGAACATTGAAATGAGCACTTTGAACCACAGCGGACGATATACCCATAAGAAACATGGAAAAAGAAAAAACAGCACAAGGTCTCTGCAGGCGCATATGAAAATAACTTCAAAAAATGCAAAGAACAGTAAGCATGAAAAAACGTTAATGCAATACAACTGCACAAAGCTACAAAGTAGATATTTTCAAAACTTTATCAGAATATGAAGGGAGTCTCCACAGCCATAGTGCACCCAGCTGCAATGCATTACAAAAACTTCAAAAATGTCCCTCAACTTATGGCAGTTTACACCGTTTAGGTTTGCAGTAACTTTGTGAAAAGTCAAAGATGCAATATCAGCAAGTAAAGTAGCTGCATTAAAACATGAGAATAACAAAACCACAATGTTTATATGTTGAATTCCACAAAAACAAAACTTCTTTGGAGTCTGAGGACAGAGCTGCACACAGCCATTGTGTAAGTGACAACAACCTCCCATAAATATGATAATGGAGCTGCTCAGAGCAAGGATGCATATTACACCAACTTTGGCAGAAAGTGCACTGCACACAGCCAGTGCACATATTATAATAGCTTGATAAAGAACATAAAAACCCTATACAGCCAGAAAGTGAAGTGAAACAATTTCCTCAGAAAATCAAAGGAGCGCCATCACAGGCCATGTTTTTTTTCAATTACAATTCTGGTAGAAAAAAAAAGCACTCCAACCCATAACAGAGAGTATGGTACACAACCTAGATATTTAAAAGAAAGGCTAGATGACTCAAGGCAGTCAGCAGCATCCCTACCCACCAGCCATCTTACTCCAGTATACCATTCTGGTACACGCTGTTGTAACTGATGGGAGGTGAGTAATTTGCATGATCAAATTAATCTTAACTCGCTGAAATCTTGACAGATTTACCAATGGTTTTGTTTATTACACACCATAATAACTGACTAATGTTAATTTATGAAAATCCACAGTTAAAATTATTCCTGAGTATGCAGGAACATAACTAAAACACTGAGGTTTGTTACAAACAAATCTGTTCTAAAATCGGCTTAAAATTAAACAATCTATGGTTATTTAAATGCTACATGCATGTAGTCTGTAATGTTATGAGTGGGCGAGCGTCCCGTAGCAAAATGGCCGCCATGCGAGGATGTAGGTCTCCATTGGCCAACAGCGTGCATGAGCCATCTAGCGTTTATATATATATATATATATATATATATATATATATATATATATATATATATATATATATGGTACACAACACTGTCTTAAAGAAAAGCAGAATAATCCTTTAAGCGTAGGCCTAACAGCTATAACCCCATGATAGCACAGAACTCCTCAGAGCACAAAACAATGCAGCTTCAGTTAATGAAAAAAGGGGCTTACCTTCATGTAGACACCAGCTTGATCTTGTCTGCAGCTTTGTCAATCATGCGGTCAGGATTTCACATGTCAGGATCCTTTTCCAACTCTTCATCATTAAGAAGGACCGTGTGCGTCATTCAGCAACTGCAGCCAACCTCCATACGTCCAACAGGGAGAACTCGCGGCATTAAACCCAAAAGAATTAAAGTTCTCGCTGGCTCCATTCATCTACTTTTCTAGATTTTAGTGGTTTACCGCCAGTTTTTGTTTGAAGCCCACCTTCACTGATCCCAGCCTCCTCCACCTCCTTGCACATTTCCGATTACCGTCTCTCAGACGGGTGTGTCCGGACTGACGACGATGCTAACGTTAGCACGCTAGCTATAGCAGGTAACGACTGAGAAAGTCTCCAGGAAGACATGTTTTTTGTCAGTAGAAACGTGTTTCTTCGCGCATTTTTATTCTTTCATACGTTCTTTGGTTTCCGTTGTTCATTTTTGGTTCAGCTTTCCTCCAACCTCCCTCAGGTCATTTGTTGCTGTTATCCTTGAATTCACACAGGTGAGACCTCAGGGCATAATCAGGTTTGACTTCCGGTACCCGCCCAATTACCAGCCAATTATTTGAGGGGGGTCACAGGAAACATGTTCAGTATGTCTTAAATGTTTAACTTCTTCACGGATTAATTTGCGATTTCGAAAAAAATTAAATAAAATAACATTTATAACAATATTAATTCTAAAAAAAATGGGTAAAGTAAAGCTAGTAAACCTTTTTCCGCTTGTTTAAAGTGAAATATATGAGGCTATCCACCCGTACCTACTAAAAATAGAAATATTTAGCATCTTATCAAGTTGTAGCCTTCTTAAGAAGACTAAAGCAATGGTTCTCATCTGGTGGGTCCCAACCCAAAAAAAGGTTGCAAACAGCTGGTCAAAAAAGTAAACATTTAATGCACATCTGATGTTTGATACGTCTTTTATTTTTAAATCTAGCTTATATTGAAAGGCACACATTATGTCATGGTCCTTCTCGGTTTCTTATCAATGTGGCCTGAATGCAGAGATACAAACAAGTAAAATTCTTAATTTTGCTGGTCTCCATTGTGTGGAATTTGATATTTTCTGTATATGCAACTTTAGTAGTTGTTATCCTCAGTTCACATGCTCTGAAATGCACTTTACTCAATATAATAGGTGTAATTATGTCAAAGATTTGAGTCTTTGTTTTTTTTTATAAGAAAAAAAATTGCTTGGTTTGAATTTTATAAAAGTGGGTCACAACTTAAGGAGTATGGGAAAATGTGGATCCCTGATTGAGACCAGTTGAGAACTACTGGATTAAAGCATGTTGTCAAACTATTTTAACTAAATAAGCTACATATTTGACTAGTAATACTCAATCTTTTTGCTTGAAATATGACTTTATTGTTAAAATGATGTCCCTAAAAGGCCCATAAACACTAAGAAGACTTACAACTAGACAATTTTGTGTAGTAGTTTTTAATGTCTGCAATCACTGTGAGGGTGACAGTGTCAAACCCAATCGAGTACAGCACAGGAAAGGAAAAGATTAAACTTTTTGGGGCTTTTTCCTGAGCAAATATTTACATTGGTGGTACTGTTTAAAGCAGGGATGATCTGAAGCAGCTGAATCTTTGATGCTACGACTACCACTTAGACAAAAAAAGGGGTCCTCACATTTGCTTTAAATATATTTCATTCTTTTATTTATTTATTTTACAGATTTTTTTTTCTTTCAAACTCGATGGCTGCATAATGACCCAAAGAAATGTATTAAACTCCAGAAGCTAAAAATACAGCAGGTGAATTCATAAGTAAACAATACAAAACCAGAACATTTTTATGCACTATTATTTGTCCTGTCTAAATGTTGTGTTAATGCAGCTCAGTAATGTTAGCCTAGCACGGAAAAATAACCAGCAGGATGTTTTCAAAGTGAAGCATTCATGTAAACACATTCATCTAATTCACTTTTATTTCATGTGAATCTTTATACATGAAAGGCAAAAACTGCTGCTGCATGAAACAGGAGCCAACAAAAACACTTTCATTTACAAATAAAAGCTGCAATTCTCTCTGAGCCATGTCATTACTTCACTTACATTTGTTTTGTTGTCTTTCAGAGCCAATGCGACGTGTCAAACTTGTCAAACAGCCGCTCAAGACCCCATGAGAGTAATGAAGGATTTAACTTGTCAAATGGCTTGAGACATCATAAACAGCATTCATCCATAATTACTTTCCGCCCATTCTTGTCTGGATAATTCGCCGTCTTGAAATATCCCTGAGCCACACATTTCTAAAATAACTTTCAGAAACCACTTGATGGCTCTTTCCACAATGGCTCCATCATAGCATTTGTTTACAAAAACACACCATTGATGGCACAACAGAAACAAATTGGCAATGTCTCAAAGACAAGAGCTGATGAAATCATGCAACTGGCAATATGGGAAAACATTTTGCACCATGAGCCACTTTGACATCCATGCATGTTGATATTTTGCAGGAGTTAAATAATAATAAAAAAGGCTAGAAACTAATCTGCTGGTTTTATAATTTCGCTACTCATCACTGACCTGTTGGCTTGCTCTTTACTAAAGCTCAAATTCCCATCAGTGTAAATGTCAACAAGGCAAAGAGGGACACAACAAACCCAAAATAAAATTAATCACTTAAGAATCGCCGGATCCTCGGTAGAAACCAATTTAGAGTCTAAATGAGACCAGTCACACATTATTGCGTGCACACCGAGCTGCTTATTGACGTCACTTCAGACTGTGACCTCTTTTGCACTCTGCTTATTTTAGACTTTGAAAGATTGATGCGATATGTCGAGTTTGTTTTATTTTTCTTTCAATAAGGCATGTCATGATGGAACTGTCTCGGTTAGACAGAGAGACAGTTATAGACTCCATGTTGAAGCTGAAGTTGTTACTGTGATGATAATACTGCTCAGTTAAAAAGGTGGGGGGGGGGGGGGGGGGGTACAACCTGTATTTAAAGAGTTGAATCTTTTTAATCCAAAAACAGCAGGGGAAACCTCCCTTCACTGAATAATCATGAATTTTTTTGTGTCCTATTCAAGTATTCACTTGAAAAGGAAAAACAGTATCTAGGATTTACTGTTGACTTCCATCCTTTTCTGTGAAACTTTCATTTTCCACCTAATGTGAAACAGCCTGACCGTCTCAGTATACAGTATGTGACTACTATCTGAATAAAGGTGACACACTGCATGGACATTAGTTGCATACACATAAAAAAGTACATTCATCTAACTATTAATGTTTTCAACACTAGCTTTGGTTCATATGAGACATCTTTAGTTTGTTACAATATAAAAAGAAATGATATACGTTGGAGTCCCTGCTTCTTGAATTCAGTGAAACATGTAGTATACTTGGCTAACAATCGAAACCAAAGCTCAGATTAAACCCTTAAATCTCTTCTTCTGAGGCTTTGTTAGAAAATAATACACACTCAGTCAAAAAACAGATCGCATCATCTCAGGAGTAACTTTCATAAAGTTAACTTTCTGAATAACATATGTTCTGACGCCACCTGGTGGTCAGACTTACACATTTTGCCCATTTTTCCAGGCTGGGTTTCCACCACAGGCTCAACAGCCTCTATCATCACTCACGACAACATTCTGATATTAGAGCTGATAGAGAAGGACAAAAATGAAGATTAATGGCTCTGCAACAAAAAGTGACAAAAGTCAATATAAACGTTTCACTGAGAACGCCTAAAAGCTGGAGTTAGACATGTTTTTCTGAATTTCTTTTTTTTATGAAATAAAGCGAATGTACCTCCAGCAGAATCTACACAGACATTCACTCTAATATAAGGGAAAGGAGCCGAAGTTGAGTTATGCTGACATCAGTTCGCTTATCACCTGAATTGGTGCTTGCAAGTATTTCATCAATTTCACATGGCGCATAGTTCAGAAGCTCCCTGGAGTTCTTTATAACATCAGACTTATTGACGCCTGGCTTTACAACACCAGAATAAGGCAATCAGATATGGCTACGCTTACAGCACAGGTATGGTGTCTGTGTTTGTGCATGCTCGTGCAATGGAGTACCTTTACAAATGTCTGAATTTAGACTCCTGAAATGATGATTTACAACATAAAAAATAAAGTTCATCTGCACTGTTTGGCTCCTCATTCAACAAAAATACATCTTCAGGCTGGTAGTTTTCCTCAACTTAGAGAAAATGGAGTTTTGCTGACTCAAGAATGATTAGTTGTTGGTTTGAAAATGGATACTGACATCAGGTTGAGTCCCAGTCATTCAAAGATGGAAAAGGCTGCAAACAGGTTGAAGCTTTTCTCATAAGAACTGTTTTCATCCTCCCTGTGACATCTCTGGCAATATCAGCCGCTGCGTTTCAGCAGTTTGTGAAAGGAATCTCGAAAGTCCTGGTAACATTAGATCACCCTGCAGCCAAAACAAAGCCTTATTGAGAGTTGTTGGGGTCAGACGTAGATGCCTTCAGGGTTGAGGCTGGAGGACACGGTGCTTTGAAGAGCACGGAGGTCGCTGGGTAAGAGACGGGACGAGCCAAGTCGTTTCAGAGAGTCAGACTCCACCTCTGCAGAAAACGACAAAACAGGAATATATATCAGAAGCTATCCACAGGTTATCTCTTCTATTGTTCATTCCTTATAGACTTATTCACTTCTGAGCTTATTGCAAATATTTCAGGCTTCAGGAGGAGTATTTTCCAACCAGAGCACCCTGAAGGTTTGATCTTTTGAGAATGAATCAGGGATTTTCTTTCTGACTCATTGTTAAAGTCTTGCAGCATTTTTAAAGCTGCCATTGATTTCGTGCGTGTAATGGGGTTACAGATTTAAGCTCCTGTGGAAGAGTGGTACGTGTCATTCTCAAGATGACCACAAGGTGGCACTGTGTACATATACATGTAATAATTTTCAGTTTAACTGTGTTAATGAACATTTTAACATTTCATCAGCGTGATGTGTGAGGTAATGGAGTCTCTGTTTGTGTTAGTAGGCTTCAGTGTGCACATATAGGTGTCTTAACGTGCCATTGTTGTTGTTTTCTCCTAAAGGCAGAGCAGGTAGCACGGTCACCTTGGTACCAGTCTGCTGAATGAACTGCTGCAGGTTGACCTGTCGGAGTTCTTTTGTCAGCTGCTCCAGCTCCTGCTCTTTTTCCTGTAATAAAAAAACAACATAATGACCAAAGAGGGAACTAATGCACCCATGTTTTGTTTTTAAAAAGTCAAGATTACCCCTGAAATGACAGCAGAAAAGGTTTAAAAAGGACACAATAATTGTTCATCTTCTGTTTCTCTTTCCCACTTTTTCTATTCTACTAACTACAACACAAAATAAGTTTGCATTATTCTGTGGTCGATCGCAAGAAGCCACAACCCAGATGAGACAGCTAAAGAGGAGCTCCCAGATGGTTACGCAACTACAGGCAAGGGATTGTGGACTTATTCAGACCTCTCTCTAATCAGGCGAAGAATGCTGTAATACCCTCCCTTCCTTCTCCTTCTCATTACTTCATGCTACCCACACCCTACTTCTGGACCTTGCCTGTACATGGAGCACTTTGCTGCTTACTAGGATTCGTGCAGCTGAGGATCCACTGTGCATCCCTGCAAGCAAGAGATTAAACTTTGCTTCACTGCCCACAGCTTAATGAGCTTAGATTTCTACGGTTCCACCTGTGTGCACAGAGCTGTGGTTTCCAGAAACATCACTGCACTGAAGACTTTTTTAATGAGGATTTCCAAAAACTCACCTTTAAATAAATCTCTTACAGTGTCTTCCATCAGCACAAACTGACAAAAGTTCTTCACAATCCTGAATATTTCGAGGCTGTGGTGCCAAAACTAAACAAGAATACCCTTGAGGAGGACTAGAGCTGACCTGTAATCTCTTGCTGGACTGGCCAAGTGAGCGTTCCAGCGCCTTGCAACTGCTCTCCAGCCGAGCTGTCTGTTGGCTCTGCTTCTCCAGCTCTGCACTCATTTTCTCCAGCTGCGCCTGCACCTGAAATACAGGCAGAAAAAAAGTGGAAAAGCCAAAAAGTCACAAAACTCTTCAGAAGCGATGGACCCACAAAGTAACAATAAATTTGGAAAATAACTCCTTAATGGAAAAGATATTTGTTTTTAAATAAGATTAAAAACCTTCAACTGGATGGATAAAAAAAACTAGATTATCAAAGATTATGAACAAAAGAAAAGCATTTTTTTCAAGTCTAACGCCAGAAAGCTAATTGGTGTTATGCTAAGCTAGTGTTAGTAACACCCAAACCCAACAATCTTTATTTGGCATGTTTTTTAATCAGCACTTGACACACAAACAGCTGAAACTGACGGGAATGTCAGTTTTTTAATTATTTGGTCACCAAAATTGGCCAAATGTTGCAAAATAGTGGATTACATTTTACAACTGTATTACCTGCCAACTGGGACTGGAGAAGATTTATGAAACTAAAACCGATGGTTTTATTTAACAAGTTTATATTTTGAATGCAACTCTATATCAGGGGCGTGACTGAAATCTCATCATGCCATGCCAGATTATCTGATACTTTATGTATCCCGGAGCCATTACTTATATACTAAAAAGATTCAAGCATTTTGAAAAGAATATAAGAATATTTTATGTTGAGTTTAATGAAATAGCTACTCAAATACAGTCAATACCATGTATTTTTTAGTCTAGTTCAAAAAATGCAGCTTTAATGAGATTGGTAGACTGCTGACTTGACAGTTGTCCAGAGGACGATCATCAACACACTCCACTAAGCCACAGAAGGTCATTGATGACAAGGACGGCTGTTTGCAGAGGGTTCACAAGCAATAGAGATGACCGCAGCCTTGAGAGGATTATCAAGAAAAGTTTATTCAAGTCTACCAGGAGATTTTAGAGCTCTTCGTGCTTCATCTGCTAAGAAGCCTTAAGGAGATACAGATTTACTTTTCCTGCAAGACCTTGCACCTGCCCGCAGTGCCAAAACTACCAGAAACTGGTTTGCTGACCATGTTATTACTGTGTTTGACTGGCAAGCTCACTCAGAACCTACAGTGTGTTGTCTGGGGGAAGATAAGGAATACATGAAAAAAAAATACAGATGACCAGAAGGCTGCAATTAAAGCAGTGTAAGCTTCAAGTAACACTCCCGCAGTGTCGCCTCTGATGCAGTAAATTGTGGTAAAGGAGCTCCAACCAAGTATTGAGGGTAAAAATGACAACATGTTAAATAAGGTGTAAATCCTTTTTTGTTGATCTCATGAAATACTCTTGTGATCTGAGACATTAGACTTCCTTTTTTTATAGTAGGGTTTTTTTATGAACCATAATGCTAAAAATCAAAATATGCTTGAAATATTTAACTTTGTGTGTCATATACTGCATGTTTCCAACTGAGCAATAGAACCGTTTAGATTCTGTATATTTTAAGATGGAAATTAGAAATTGCACTTTGACCCATTATTCGATGACTATTTATTTCAAAAAGCAGCTGCGAGTTGCATAACTGATCTCCAAGTACTTAACCAAAATAATTATGATGGCTGTTGAGCAATATACAGTGTAGTATAGATATAGCCTAGATTTAGACTTGGTCTATACTTGGTCTAAGTTTAGATGTCTAAAAAAAACTTTCCTTTTTAGACCTGTGGTAGCCTGATTTTAGACCAGTCGCCTAGGCTACATTTAGACGTCTATTAGATCTCTTTTAGACCAAAAAATGCTCAGTGGGATGAAAATGTACCATTTTGAGTTCATTTACCAAAAACAACAGTTTTCACAGCATTTATATTTACTCAGCTGCACCTTTATGTTTGCATGCTGCTTTAGAAACTGTGATTGACTGGGTTGTACCTCTTCCTCATTGACCTTCTGGTTGAGCTCGGCTTCCTGCTGCTGCCTCTCCTGCTCAATGCCTGCCTCCATGTTCTGTGAGAAATCAAATAACAACAAATAAAGTGGAGAAAAGGCACGAAGAAATCCCTTACACAACAGTGTTTGTTTTGTCAGCAGAGTTTGTAGAGAAGAGAAACTACCAGACATTTACACGGTGTTAATAAACACAATAAAACAGCAGCTAGAAGACTCCATTAGCTGCTCTATGATTACAAGCTCACCTGTATGCGTGCTAAGTACTCTGAAAGCTTCACCTCGCAGTCGCGCACGCCACCCTGCAGCTCTGCTAGCTGTTGCCGGAGTTGCCGCTCACTTTCCTGCTCAATCTGCAGCTCGTTCTGCCAGAATTCTTCCTCCTCCATCTCTGCATCGTTCCTCCTCACCTGCTGCTCCAAAAGCAGCAGCTCCTCTTCTAAATTTACCTCCTGGAAGCAGAAAAATGATCCAACCTGAAAAGTTTCCCACCCAAACAAAACATACAACACTTGCACTGAGTAAACACAACTTCTGAGAGCATTGTTGAGAAAAAAAATAGTTGATGCTGAGATGTAAATAGCTTCTGCACGCAACTTTTTGAGTTTAATTAACAGCACTGGCAGCTGTGGTGTTACTCACTTCATTGGCCTCGCCGTCATCCTCCTCCCAGTCTCGCAACTCAGCTTTGCAGCCCAGCAGACGGCTCTCTAGGGCCTGGAGTTTGTCTCTCTGCAGCTGCACCAGCCGGCTCAGCTCTCTGGCTGGACTCCCAGGTACAGATGCTACTCCAACCCTGTTCAGATTCAGACTCCCTCCTCGCTGCGGGGGCTGTTTGGCTGGATGGATGATGGCATGTAAAGGCATAAGGAGAGGGAAGGGAACCTGGACTCGACAATGTGTGCAAAACTACCCGTCCAGCAAAAGCTAACTTAAATATGCTTAAAAAAAAAGGAAATACCTTCAGCATCTCTGCTTCTCCCAAATATTTCTCGAAGACCCTTCGCTCCTCCGGTGAACGTCAGTGACTTGCGCTTGGGTTCCCTTCTTTTGAGCGAGCGGTCCATACCTGGTGGGCGGAGCTTGGCCAGAGGTGGCAGGCTCTGCCGGTAGAAGCCCCGCTCTGGGACTCGAGCCTGCCCATCAGATGTTGGCCGCTCGCTAACAGATGGGCCGGTTCGTTGGAGGATGAGCTGGACATCGCTCGCATACTGACCCCACTTATTAAGGGACACCACAGGGTTTTCATGTGGAGACAGGTGACGCTCAGTTTCACGCCATTTTTCTATTAAGGTGTACCTGCCAGTGCGGCCTGTCAAGAATCAGAAACATAATAATGAACGTGGTATAAGAAGTTTCATAGTACATATTCTCAAACTGCTTCTGAATATAAACAACACTATCCTTTAATGATATCAAATGAGCTGACAAAGCTGGAACAGTTTCTTTTATTTCTCATTCAGGCTCTGACTCTACATGAAGATGGACAATATGTCTACACCTTCACCATTCAAACAAAACAAAAGTGAAGCCTAAATATCCCAAGACTCTACACAGGAGATTTTGTCTCTAGAAGCTTTGTTTTCATGTCCTATGCCTCACACTTATCCCAACATCAAACTCACCAATGAATGTGAAAATACCCTTCATTTGTAGATGAATAAGCATGATAAGTGCTAACCATATTGACAGAAAGCATGTCGAAGAAAAACTTCTTAAGCGTAATTTTTCATTTAAAAGTTTGGACCATGTCTCATCTGTCAACATGGAAAAGGCTAGCTGTATGAGTTTTTGTGCAGCCAGTTAGGCGGGCAGCTCCGAATGTTTTAGCTTTATTTTTCACCCCATCTTTTTCACAAAGTCTAAAGTTACAAGTAACCTGGACATAGTTGTAGAATGACACACAATGTCATTAGTCCCATACACTGCAAAAAAATCACACACAGCACAACAATTGGCTCCGGGCCAAAACCTTTTGGAGCTCCCTCTAATAACTGGCTGCTGCATGACTCTTGTGGCCCACCTACCCTGTATAACAGATGTTTGATGGTTCAAACTAGAAAAGCAAAAAATTTTTCAGTAACATGGTTCTCTCAGCAGTTTATTTTTACTGTGTAATTTTTTGTAGAAGTTTGTATGTTTTTGAAATTTAGCCACACTTAGTTTTTGATGCCAAGTAAAAATTCTGTTGACAAATGCAGCAATCTTTACGAGATAATCAAAGATCAAAGACAGGAACACAAAACAGCTGATACCAAGGGCATTCTTATGCTGAGGAACTCTGAACACAAAAAATGCTGTCAGTGGACACAGGCCCTAAAACTTTCATTACTGTAGCTGTTATTGTGCTCTCTGTGGGAGGTCTGTGGGAAGGTCCCCAGTGATCTATTCAATACAGCCCAACAAAAAACGACACATTTCACTTTCTTTGTTTTGCTGTTAGGCATTAAGATAAATTGCTACAATGCTTGTCTGCTTCATTTGGATACTGTATGTTATCTAACGACATCCCTGATGTGAAGAAAGCAAAATCACTGTGCTTTTAAAATTGTTCAAATTCAGCTCAAGTTGCAAGGCAATTTAACAAGGAAACTTTGGGGGTAAAACAGTCTCTTTGAACTCTTGTACAACTCCCCCACACTTTCGGAGCTCGAGCAGTTTCAAAGACTTCTGCCAGCATCGTGAATAGTGTGCATGCTGACAGAAGTGTTTCTGGGAAAATTCAGCTCAACAGATAAGTGATTGTGCTGGGAAAGGACAGCACTTATTGGTTTGTGGCTCTGCTGTATGAGTATGTTTGTACTCTCCTGTCAAGTAGATAAAAGTCAACCGCTGCCGATCCTGACTGATGATCCAGTATCCAGAGAATGCTCACACTTTGCACGAGAGCTTTTGTGAGTATCTATGTTTGTGGCACTAACATGAATGGTACTAGTGTGAACACTTAAACGGTGGGAAGACTGGAAATGTGCAATAAAAGTTTTGTCCATTTACCTACTCTCACCCTCGTCCTACACACTTGGGGTCCTTGTAAAAAGAGGCACATTCATCACCAGAGCCATTCACATCAAAGTGCCCTAGTCTGGACAAAGGGTTCATTGAGCACAAAGGATAGTGAACGACATAACTCCTGCTACAGTGACACTGTGAAACATACATGTCCGAACAAAAAAAATCTACCGAGGTTGTTGGGAAAGCCCTGTGAAAAGTTCATCTTTAATAGCAACCCATAGCTCTCCATTTAAAGAAATCCTGCCTATGGATTCACAAAGCTAGATGTCCAATACAATCCATGCAAAGACAAACAAAGACAAAGTGCCAACTAACTTCTGTGTGAGTGCACAGGGCGTCAATAAACCAAAGTCTGCAGCATGACTCATCTTGTTTTGTGCAGCCCATCTATGGTGAAAATCTCTTTGTGCCCTCAAGTCACTTTTCATTTTGCAGCAATTTATCTTCTCCAGTGTGTCTGACATCCTGCCTGGCCAATATTGGACACAACCCACATCACAGATATTGCCCTAAGGGATTCGTGTGAGACTTAGACACCACTTTAGTCAAAGTTTTTCAGCGTCTACCCTCCTCATGCTCTTTATCATGTCATATGTTGGTCATCTGATTTCTCCTTCTCAAGACTTTTGTGAACCAACATGGATTTTCAATCAATAACTAAAATTTTTCACATTTACTGCTTGTAGCCCTCTAATGTAAGATGTTTTCTACCAGCTGTAAAAACAAGATATTAGCAAACTCTTTCTCAGGTTATCATTAATTTTGAGCTTACCGATGGCTTGAGCCAAAGCAATGACCACCTCCTGGCATGTGGTGAACTCTGTGACCCCGCACACGATGCGTTGTACTCCGTCCACCCACACTTTCAGCTCCATGGCCTTCATCCAGAGGCCTTCATTCCTCCACACCACAAGGGGGTGCTAATAAGATTTTACTGTCCATCCTTCAAGGGAAGAGAAAAGAACGTTTAAAGGAATTAATTGTTTATTGATATATCTTAAGATAGCTTAGCATTCAACAGCTACAGAGTTAGACATTCCCTTAAAAGCGTGATGAAGTAGGGTGAAATAAGTCATGTCAACTTTACAAGCCAGGATAATCTACATTAAAATAATGCGAGTTTAAACATTAATCATTTTTTGACATGGATCACAAGGACTCAAATTCATATAGGTGCCTATATATTGTAGTGTGATGCAAACAAGACTAACAGCAACAAGACTGAGAATTTTTGAATCAAAGTTTTTAATACTGGCGCAAGAGGGTATGGGTCAGCAGAAGAACTGGCCCTGTTTTTACAGTTTTCACATACAAAATTCACAATAAATGGCTGTAAAAAGTTGGTATTTTTTATCAGGAAGACAAAGCAAGAATGATTTTTCCACTGGGGATGCAAAAATTGACACAAACCAGAAGTTCCTCACAGGAGCTTTAATGACTCGATTCGATTAAAACACCCCCACATAAATTTTAATAAGCACCAAATGGTTGAGTGGCAGACGCTTCCTGTTCACAGTCCACGACAATACAATACAACACAACACAACACAACACAACACTTGTTCTTTTAAGTAGTTTCCTGTAAAGCTGCGAATAAATTGCAGCAAGAACACACTTGTGGTGCAGTGATTGTGACTGTCTAACAGGCCTCCTACAATATATTTTTCATTTGCTGGTGTCGGTGAAGGAAAAGCTTTCAACGGCCGCATGCACGCAGAACGAAAGCCATTTGAAACTGCTGACACAAGCACCTCGGCAGCGAGGCAGTCATTAGGAACCTGGCAAGGCCACAACAGCAGGCCGGTGCAACAGAGCGATGAAGGAGCTGCTGCCTAATGCTCAGAGTTTTGCAGCCCCACTGTGCAGCAGCCCTCCTTATTTTCATGACTGGGCCATCAGCTTAGCTCTGATCCCTGACTTCCGTATCGCTTGAGGCATCCTTTAACGATTTAGGTACCAGCCATCTTCATCACAGCTGGAATGGGACCCCAAATCCTCCAGCTCTTTAACTACTGCTTCCCCCTCGAGGCCTTTCCCACTGAGTCTGCATCACGTCAGCGTGAGCACATCCCTACACCGAGGGCATCTGGTGAGGGTGAGGCTCGCCTTTGGTGGAAAGCGGGATGATTTGTAACTGCAGACAGATACTGCATCTGAACCTGGACGCCTCTGTAACTGCAGAGTAAATGAGGCTAAACCTATGAATGTGGCTTAGTGGAAGAGGGAATAAATGAGGGGGACAGTAAAAGTGAGGAAAAGAAGAGGGGTGAGGGTGCAACAGGAGGGCGACAGATGGACAAAGCAAATAAAATGATGGACATGGAAATTTAAAGGTTTGAGGATCCCACAGAAAGAGTACAAGCATTTTAGTGATGAAAACTAAAACACCACCTTAACTTTAGATTAATGCTGTATATTTAACTCCAGAGACAGTAAAAAAAAAACCATGTAAAGGGTTTTAACCGGTTGTGAGTTGAACTAAATTTAGATGCCTTTATAATACCTTCAAAAGCAAAAGAGACCACCGGTAAAAAGACTGATATTAGTAGTTATTCTGAATTCCTATAAACACTGTCACCAGGTAGGCATCAGACAAGGAGGCAAACAACACCATCTCTTTAAATTTTCTACAGCAAATTCTCAGAGTGAGTGAGATTTTACTGATGCACAACAAGAGCAGTGAAGCCATTAGAGGTACTGCTTTAACCTCACACCATCAGAAAGTGCCTCAAGGAGCTTTAAATGTACAATTTTCTCAATAATAACCTGCAGCTGCAAGTGAAAAGACACTTTTTTTTAATTATTATTTGAGCTGGAACATGGATAAAGAGATTTGCCTCTAACCTAGAAAATGTAGCTTAATTGATTTCATAACAACTAGTTTCCTTAGAAACGATGCTGCCTTTAACTTTTCACAGCTGGATTCAAAATGTTGTAAAACTATGTTTGTTCAATGACGAGTGTTATTGAAATCACACTGAGGTTCGATCCAGGGCTAAAAGACACTTCACACAAGGCTGTGAACCTGATCTCTCTCTCTCTCTCTGTCCCTCTCTGTGCCTCACACACACACACACACACACACACACACACACACACACACACACACACACACACACACACACACACACACACACACACACACACACACACACACATACAAAAACTTACAATCTGCATATCTGTGTGAAAAGTCCTGCTGAAGTCTTTACCCCCATGTGTTACAATTATCATAAAGCTACTATCAAAACTGAGTAAAGTCCATTTTATTCAAGTTGATATAAGTCCCATGACTGAAAACTGTAGAATATTCATGAATCAAAGGTGGAAGAATTTTGGGGGAAAGCTTTAGCATTAGCTTTTTAAAAACAGGAGCATTTTGAGCCTTTTATAGTCACAGTGAAAATTGATGGATGAGTCTGGCGGGGCGAGGAGCCGCATGAGGACTGCCTGTCATTTTAAGTCTACGAGTCACATTTCAGACTGAAGTAGCTGTTATGTTTAATTAAAAAGATGGTTCAAATCCTTGGAGACACTTTTGACTCTCAGTACAGACAGGCTGTGGCCCACTTTGACACAGGTTACTAAACTTTTAACCAGTGTGCTGCAACATGATGAACAGAAACTCTGTAGAACTGTGGAACAACAACAACAACAGAGGAACCTCACCTGTAATCATCACAGTAATACAACCATTAAAAATATGATTTAATGTGTGCTAGGCTAACAGTAATTAAACATGTAGGGCTGGGCGATATGGTAAAGGTTTATCATTATATATTTTTTCATATCAGTCGATATCGATATATATCAATATAAATGTTCCCTGTTACTCTTACATGAAATTTAACAGTGCTTATTGGTCGCATGTCTTTTGCAATACAATAAGCTACTGCATTTGTGAGGTCTTTGTGTCTCTTCAACATTTTGTCATAAGGTGTTGCGCTAGGGAAAGCAGACTGAATGGTTGGCTGTTTCGGCTGTACAGACGCCACGGACTCCTTACTCCGCTCAGGGTTTGTAACCTTTTGCATTGCGCGTGCTCTGCCGTGTGGCACTGCTTCAGGTGGTGAAAAAGATTTAAAGTATTCCCTGACTTTGCTATTCGTATAGTCTACTAAAGCATGGCAGAATGCCAACTATCGAAAAGCATATTGACCGTGTCCATCCATCAATTTTCTACCGTTTATTCCCGCTGGGGGTTGCGGGAGGGCTGGAGCCTATCCCAGCATCTTCAGGCGAAGGCAGGGGACACCCTGGACAAGTCGCCAGTTCATTGCAGGGCTGACATATAGAGACGAACAACCATCCACACTCACACCTACAGGCAATTTTGAAAGTGGCCAATTAACCTAACCCCACTTCTGCGTATTTTTGGGATGTGGGAGGAAACCGGAGTACCCAGAGTAAACCAACGCAGACACAGGGAGAACATGCAAACTCCACACTGAAACACCCTGACTCGGATTCAAACCCAGGACCTTCTTGCTGTGAGGCGACAGTACTAACCACTACACCACTGTACCGCCCATATTGACCATGTTTTATATTGATATCGGGGGAAATTAATTTTTGATATATATTGTCATCGTTTTATCGCCCAGCCCTATAAACATGATGTCGCAGAGTAAGGATAAGATAAATACTTTGTTAATAACTTGCAGTAAATTGTATTGTTATGGCAGCTAAAGTTTCCTTCTGACAAAAACACATCAAACAATGACTATCTCAGACATTTTAAAGCATAGCATAAGGACCAAAAACTTACCAATTCTCAATGTATAAAGAAATAGATATAAAAGTATAGTAGAAATATTCAATATAGAACAGTGGTTAAAGTAGATGAGAATATTTATTTGTCTGGAAGTTTGTTTGAATGAGTTGCAACTTCTGTGTGTGACATTTAACTGAAATGTAAGCCACCATTTCAAAAGGAGCAATTAAAAAGTGAAACTTCAATGTGTAACTTCCAAAGTTTTAATGTGTGGGCAGTCCACCATCTGTAAAGGTCAAGCTGATTTCTTGTCTTTGTTTCAGTAGTTGTTGGTGTAGAATCACTGTCAGCTTGTTAACAGAGCACTCCTTTTACAAAACTGGCCCTGATTTACTCCTGCACAACTCTGTCTGGTGCTTTTATTCAATCTCGCTGCACCCCGACTCCCACACCCATTTGGGAATCTCTGCCTAAGAAGCAACAACTCACAACATCTTTTCTTGAGTTATTCTTTCATTGAATATGGGTTTCATTTCATTTTTACACTTAGGTGCTCCCACTGGCCATCTGACTTGCATATTACAACACATGCAAGGTGTTTCCTTTTATCTGCGGCAGCACGGGAGCAGACAGCTGCGAAGAAACAGATGTTCAGATGTTGTTTAGTCTAACTGAGCGAGTCCATATTGCAGGTTTTTTCACACTTTGATCAATGAGGATGAAGCTTTTCCTCATAACTCAGACAAACTCAAAATCTTTTTCTTTGAAGCTAAAGTAAACTGAATTTAGGAGCTGTGACCTGGAAATGTAACGGCACACTGGCTCCAGACTCATCAATGCGAAAGTAATCGAATGGTTTGCTCACTAACAGAACCACCACAGCAGCCTGTTTCCTTGTGGAAACGAGCTTCGATTTTCCTTGCCCCACTAATAACTTCCAACTCCTGAATGGCCAACTCTCTGGCTCTCTCTCTGCAGCCATTAATATAATTTTCCTGAACTTTCATCACACTTTTTCCACTTTCTCTCTGCTAACGTCTTTGATGTAAATTAGTTGCTTTGAAGCCTCACTCTGCCAGAGTGAGAATAAATTAATCATTCAGGCTACATGGTGAGAGTATACAAATTAGCATGCTGCAGCTTGTGTGTTTCTATTTTGGCTCAGCCTGGTTGTAAATGTATACTTCCATTTTTAGAATCAGACTGAGCTTCAGGCCACAGCGAGTAACCTCGGGACCTGTGGGAAAGGTGCTGCTGCAGATGTTGGAATTTCCTTTGCAATTGGTCACAGTTTAATAAACAGACAGACTCAGTGCTTCACATTCCAACTGCATGCCAAATCCTTCACATATAAACCAGGCAGACCGTCCAGGGCAGTGACATTTAACCTTTAACCAGACAAGAGGAACATTTCTCCTAAGGTATCATCAAACAGGCAAAGTCAGTATAGAGTGATATGGCGTTTTATTAGCCACAAAACGACCTTTTTTAACAAAGTGAGGCTAATTACACTCACACAAAACTTTGTGTCTTCCTCAAGACAAATCATCTGGCCCTATTTTGAGGGACATCTTCCCATTGAGCAATAGACGGCTATTTGACGTCTAGTTTTTTTTTTTTTAGACCAAATTTCAACTGTCTAGATTCCTTATATTTTTAGATGGAATTTAGACGTTGCACTTAAACCCATTATTCAATAACTATTTATTTCAAAAAGCAGCTGTGAGTTGCATAACTGATCTCCAAGTACATAACCAAAATAATTATGATAGCCGTTGTGCAATACATGGTGTAGTATAGATAAAGCCCAGATGTAGACTTGGCTTAAACTTGGTCTAAATTTAGACGTCTAAAAAAACTTTAATTTTTAGACCTGTGGTAGCCTGACTTTAGATCAGTTGTCTAGACTACATTTAGACGTCTATTAGACCTCTTTCAGACCAAATAATGCTAAGTGGATTACTTTGTTCATGTGGAGATTACCTAACTTAAAAAAAAGATCAAACTCAATGTGTCTCATCCTCACTTTCATGTGGAGTGCCAGCTGTTAGAGAAACTGAAGTGGTTAACATGGTAACCATAACTACCGAAACATGGACAAAGGAAGCAGATGTAGTTTGAAGTTTAAGAATTATAACTCTTAGTTTTATAAGCATCCATATCAACAACAGACTATGAAAATCCAGGAAGAGTTCAGGTCACACAGTTAACATTAGCATTCAACCAGGTCTTAGTTAATGATTACTTTAATAAATCACGGTGACAGAGGAAAGATAGAAATGTTTTCACAGGCAAACTATTATTTTGTAGCTGACTAACCTAAAAGGCTTTATAGATATGTAGGTGTCTATTTAATATCAGGCTTGCTAGCCAACCATGCAGTGTTTGAGTACTGTACAGGCAGAAGCTGGTTTTACAGTTAAATAAATGACCCTGTGAACTGGTGACTCTCCGCCTGTTACAATGGCGACTACATAAGCATTCATCTGAAAATATCCTGCATTCAGTGTCACTTCTTAAAGCTCTAGCGAGGAACTTTCAGTTTGTGCCAATTTTGGTGCCTGAAACACAGATGTTTCTCCAGCTGTTTGGGTGACACCAACCCCTCTGCACCTGTTCCTGGCTTTAAAACTGACACTATAAAAGTAATCAGTCATGTCGCTGATAGCTTTGTTTGTTTTGTGATTTTATGCAAAAGGAATAAATATGAATTTCAGTCGTTTTAAAATTATCAAAAAACTCAACATAGGAGCTTTAAATCCTAACACTGGTGGTTTCATTTCATTATTGTCAACATCAGTTCAACAGCAAGTTGAGAAGTCTTACTAATGCACTCACAGTTTCCATCAAGTAAATCAGTAAATAGCAAATTTGTTTGCCATAATTCAGAAATAAGGATTTAAAAGAATACAGCAGCTGGATTGTGGCTGGTGTTGACACCCATAAATTGTGGGGAGAAATGGGGAAAAAGTATATCAGGATATATTTTTTTCATATCAGTCGATATCGATATATATCACAACATAAAAAATGAAATTTGACAGTGCCTATTGGTAGCATGTCTTTTGAAATACAATAAGCTACTACATCTGTGAGGTATTTGTGTCTCTTCTACTACGCAGTTGTTTGCTACTTGGTTCTAATTCAGCACATGATTGTTTCAGCACGAAGCGGACCCGGAGCAACTCCCCTTTTCATTGGCTATTTGTTTAGTCTACCAAAACATGACAGAGGGTCAACTATCAAAAAGCATATTGACCATGTTTTATACTGATATTGAGCTGCCACCACTGCAACTTTTAACCAGGAGAAACACACATAGCAATGGTGATACATCTTTTTATCTCATATTTTTGGTTGCCTTTTGCTTTCAGAAAACTGTAATGGAAAAATGCTTAACGCCCGGCTTTAAAATTGTGATCTTCAAAGTTAGCGTGCTGATGCAGCCTTTAGCTCAAAGCACCATCCCAACAAAATGTTACCAACAAAATCCACGTTAGCAAATGAGCTTCCATGATTTGTATTTCCAATATACTAACACTTGCATGCCTGTCCTTCAATGACACAAGTTTAGTAACACAAAAATTACAGACTGAAATACAGCAACTGACAAGAGTGAAGACAAGGAGAGCTACACAAACACAGAAGGAACTTTCTGATGGTAAATGTAGTGAGTCGGGGAGACAGAGTAGTATTCATTTTGTTAGTGGGTTATGTAAGGAGATGAGTGATGGAGAACGAGGCAGCTGGGGAGAAAAAAGGTTGCAGCAATCAAACACTGGCTGTCAGACGGCTTTTGCTGCAGCCATTTGGTTCCAGACATGAAGAATACTGTGTCGTCTGGGCTGTTAACCATCGAGCTAAACTTAGTTATGACTCCGGTCCGCCTCCCTGAAGTTTCATACTCAGGATGCCACAAGAAGGCAGAGCTAGGGAGGGACTCTGAGAACCAGATCAGTGTGTCTTATGAGCATTTCCTCAATCATGACAGTAATTCAACACTAAAATCCCACAGAGATCCTTTAATATCCCTGGGATGAGCACTTAAGGTTCAGAAACACAAATGTCTCACCAGTGTTGAGGATAAGTTTCACCCAAAAACACAGACTTAAGAGTCAGACTCAGAGCTCACTCAGTCCATCACTTCATTAAACGTACACAAACAAATTGATTAGGTTTGAACCCCTGACACTGGCTTAGTTTCTCCAGCAGTCTGCCAACAACAGACACAAGAAGTTGTGATTTTTGGTAAAACAAATAGCATGTACCGCTGTAAAAGTAAAGAGAAGACCTGGTAAAATAAAATTTTTCTATAACTTCTATCTATCCAGCCCCTGAGGCCAGTCCTACATTTTGGCAGATGTTATACAGAAAATTGTTGGAATTTGACACAGTGACAGATTTTGTTTCTTGCTGCAGTAATGATGTTGTAATTAATCACTTTTAAGTACAAGAAAGTCTATTTTGATACATCTGATTGCTAATCAAAGGCGTTCCAAATTAGCAGACTTAACCATGCTCTTGAATTAATCAAAACCTTACAAATTGATTATCTACAAAGTGGGTGTGTTCAAAATAGCACAGTTCTTCTGTTGCTATATCCCTCTGTTTAAAAGCCTTTGAGTAGCTTGGGAGGAGTAAGACATGGCACTCTGAAGCTGCAGCTGCACTGAGCTTTTCAAAAACAAACGGTGACGCAACCAGGAACCAATTTTTAAAGCAACAAGGAGGCTGAGGCTGCAGGAGGGGGTCCAGAGGGGGGAAACAAGCAGTGCACAGACAAAAGAGCATGCTGCACAGACCTGTGTGTATGTGTGAGAGTGTGTGTGAGAGTGTGTTTCTGTTTCTGTGTGTATGTGTGTGTGTTCTTTGAGCCCACATGGCTAGGGGGCATGACTGGATGCAAACAATCCCTCACCATGGTGACACAGCTCTGGCTTTGTCCGGGCCTTACACAGATGACTGGATTGATTGGAGGGCACGGACTGGGAAAGTAGACCAAACAATCGGTAACAATTAAGAAAGCAGCCCGTGCTTTCCTGTCACTTCCACTTTGTTTCCTTTCTACTGTGCACTGCGAGAAAACACGGAGGTGTGCGGTGCCGGAGGGTTTCTCGAACTCAGGATTACAAAGGGGTTTCACTAGAAGGCCTCGGTTGCTCTACTGGTGAGAAGTGACCACACAGATTCAACTGGACCAATGTGGATTACTCATAAAAGAAAATCAGATGAGGAGTATTACGTCTTTCCAAACAATATGACATTGCTTTAAAAGGTTGATAAGTGTATCAAAGTCATGAGCACGCACCAAGATGGTCAAATTTCTGACACATTAGAGTGAAAACAAGGAAAAAAATACATGAAGTATCTTAATGCTTGGTGTTCTGCTGTATGAGCAATTACAGCAACCCTATTTGTACACGAGAAGGGTGCTGCAACTGCTATACCGAAGTGACACCCAACCAGTTTCCTTGCCAAGTCCCTTAAAACTGAGTTCCTGCTGCCCCATACCGTCCTTTGGCTGAATGCTAACATCCGCTTTCAATTCAAACACTATGCTAAAGCTAGTGTGCTGATTTTAAACAGGTTGACTATGTAAAAAAACAAGTATTGCAGGTTGATACAAAAACTGTTAGTTAAAGCTGATGAGCTCTTGACATTTTTTTCATGTCATGCCATTTTAAGTCCTTTTAATTAAACATCATAAAATAATTGTATTGATCCAAAAAAGGAAATTCGTGAATAAGATAATCAGGACGATACTGTAAGGATCTGACTCAAAGTATTGCTTATTATGATGTAGGTTTTTACAGTTGCTGATGAATACGGCATGAGTGATTATAATAATAATAATGCATCAGATTTCATAAAGCACTTTATCAGAGACCCTCAAAGTGCTTTACATTGGATACATCATTTATTCGCTCACACAGTCACACATTGGTTTTGGTAAACTACCTTAGTAGTCACAGCTGCCCTGGGGCAGACTGACAGAAACATGGCTGCCAGTTTGTGAAGGACAGTCAAGTCCTCACAGACTAAGACTGAAGTGGTAGAGAAGCCATATTTCAATCAAACCACTCCTGTTCAGCCATGCAAATAAATATCAACGTGATCTTTTTTTGAAATATATGAGTAAATGATTTAAAATCTATGTCCGTTTTCTTGATGGAGTAGTCTGTTCTGTTCAGTGATATGTTTTGCAGACATAAAGTACAGACTTCTGTTGTGCTAATACAATTACAAGATTAAATGATGAAATGTTGCTTTATAGTACAGCTTATCTACTCTACAATCTGATTTTAAAACAAAATGATACAACATGAAGTAAGATCAAGGACTACAAATCAAACCTCTCTTTTTTTCTCAGTACCTGACTGTTAACTTCAATCTCTTTGCTAGACGACGCCGCGTTCTGCTAACTGGAGACGCCTTTTAGAGATTACATCCACATCAACTTTGTCAGCTCAGAGAGGCGACTGCGGGTTTAACAGATGCTGGAATGAAGGGAGAGCGATTTCACCATCACACATTACTCATATGTCATGTATTCTCTTGCATGTTTTTTATGTGAGGAAAAAAGGATTGATGGTAAGTTAGGAAGTTTTAATCTTGGTGTACCGCAGCATCTAAAACAGGAATGAGCATCTTCTCTGGTTACTGCGTTTTGCACATTTACACTTTATGAGTGATAAAATGTTATAATTCCTCCAATGACGGCTGTGTTAAGTTAACCTGCCAGCTTGCAGTTTCAAAACTTACAATCTGAAGTAGAGGCTAATGGAAGCCAGAGTGAAGCCTCTGCATAAGTAAAGGGTTTCACCAATGTTCCTTTTTAATGTTTGGCAAGTTTTTCAAAATAGTATTAGAGTAGTCATCTTTTTAGTATGTGAGAGAGATGCAAAAAGAAGGGTTAATTATGAACACTATGATTAATAATCCAAACTGTTCAAGTACTCCATGTTGCTGGCTGGTGTTCACGTTACTACTGGTGCTAGCTGCCGTCATCTTGAGATGGTTGCATATAGCGTGCATGTTCATCGTTGTACTTCAGTAGTCATGCACAACTGAAATTTCACCGAGGAGTTGGTGCTATCTTTAGAGAAGTACCTCAATACACATAAATCCTGAGCCTGTTGATCCAGAGCCTTTAACCATACATCTGAGTCAGGGTCTCCCACCCTTCCCTGCAGTATCTGCCATCTTGTCTGCGATTAAGTTGCAGAGTGTTAACGTGGTTGACTGGTCAGCTAGTCACATAGTTGATGAAACCCCTGGTGTATATCACCTCTGACAATGTAACTGAGACTTACTGGAAACATACAACAGGTGGATATAAGGATATGACGAACCAAAACATGGTGATGTTTACTCTGTAGTCATACTCCGAGGGGAACTAATTTTCTTCTCTTTCTATCTGAGTGCTGAGTCTCTTTTCAAATAAGTGACTGAACTGTAAACAATGCAGTGCATGGGAAAGGAAACCGTGGCTGGGAGTTATTCATTGCTAACTGTTCAGGAAACAACTGATGCATTCAAGACTGATATAGTACCATCTATGACACAACCTCTAGACCAAGTCTTTGTTATATCAATTACAGAAACCCAATTAATTCTCCAATTAGACACCACTTGGCAACAGTAGCAAGGTAAAGAGTTGTTTGATTTCGCAGAAGCTTTGGGCAAAACTGAACTCTTTTGTAGACAGCCATCAGCTACATCAACTTCAGCAATGATGGTTTAAAACAAACTATGACAAAGAACTAGGGCTGGGCGATAAAACGATAACCATATATATCGAAAATTAATTTCCCTCAATATCAGTATAAAACATGGTCGATATCCTTTTCAATAGTTGGCTTTCTGCCATGTCTTGTTAGAATACACGAATAGTACAGCTGGGACGATATTCTTTTCTCCCGATTCCATTCTTCTAGGATTTTTTGGATGCCGATTTGATTAAAATTGCAATTCTATGATATTGTTGATTTTCTCCATATTTAGTCTGCATTTTTAACACCAGTGAAACAGTTGAATGATTATGATTGTCTTCTAACTATTCCGGGAACCATATTTTCTCAAAAAATACACATCACATGTGAGACAGTTTTTAAGATTTATTCTTAAATTTGAAAAAAAAAAAGGTTTTTGAACATAAAAATTGATTTAAAAATTGTAAAACAAAAAATCGCGATACTTCTGAGAATCAATCTTTTCTTCCATCCCTATCGAATAGCCAATGAAAAGGGGAGCTTCTCCAGGTCTGCTTAACAGCGCAATGCCTTACGACAAGATGTCAAAGACACAAAGACCTCACAGATGCAGTAGCTTATTGTATTGCAAAAGACATGCTACCAATAAACACTGCTAAATTTCATTTTTTATACTATGATGATATAAAAAAAAAAGTAAACTTTTTCCCATATCACCCAGCCCTACAAAGAACTTTTTTTGCATCTATTTCCCCTTGAAACATGTGAAGAAGTGTAACTAATTATTTTTGTATTTCAGAGATTTCCACTACAAACACAACAAAGCTCTGAATGAGTTTTACCCTTGCTTTATCCCACGTGTGCTTCAAGGACTTTTTACACTAGCTGTACAGTTGAAGGAGCTTTGATTAAAACCACTGCTGAGTGGGCGCTTATAGCCAAACTCTATTAAGAGATTCATCATTGCAGGGCTCAGCAGACACACACACACACACACACACGCACACACACACACACACACCCTCTTAGACCACTCACTCATTTCCTGCTGGCTCATGGATTAGGTATGTTATAAGCAGAAAGCAGTCTTACCAAGTTTGAGGATCAGATACTCCAACTTAAAGCAGATTTGTCACATATTAGTGTTAAAAAACGCATGAAAAGGAGGAGGTGTGATTTATTCAGCCATTTAAAGTTATGAAACTACAGCTGAACAGTCCGTGTCAGCCAGTGTGTGTGCTTCCCTGCCTCCCTAGAGCACAATTTACTCAACAATTCACAATTCAGCCTTGTTTACATAGCAGCAGCTTTTAATGTTGCCTCATAGATTGACGCATTCGAGCTCCTGAAGAGACAGGAGAGACATTGAACGCATCAGGCAGATCTGAGTAAAACCAAACCACGTACCTCTGTTCCGCAGCGAATCACTCCGTTTCATGGTTCACTCTCCTCTCTTGTGTTGTGGGCTCGGTGTTTCTGTCAGCAAAACAATCCGGTACTTTCCGTCGCATGTTTTGGTGGGCCACTTGCCGGAGGATCCCGTTTATTCCGAGCTGCTCACGCGCCCGCAGCAGAGTGACCGGGGCGCGCGCACATCTCCGCCTCTGAAAGCCGCGTGGATGTAAACATGCGTCCCGTCCGGTTATTGGACATGAGACATGGGAGCGTTTTCAACATCTGCCGTCCTGCCTGTTTGCCTGCTGCTCTGCTTGTCACTGAGGAGGGGTGGTGGTGGGGGGAGAGAGAGACCACAGAGAGTGTTGTAAATTACGTCGGAACTGAACTGGGACACCGCAAGGCATGATGGACCGGTTAAAGCCGCAATGCACTGGCGACGGAAATGGACCCGTTCAGCTTTGATGCAGAACTGTGGTCACGCCGGAACCGAGCTGTTTTGATATGAAGAGGGGAAAAAAGAAATAATGGAAGTGCTAACACGTGTCTTAAGATGAAAGAAGGGCTGTTGTCAGGGGTCAGATAATTTAATGGGGTTCAGAGAAAGAAAATGAAGCTTTCATGCTGCTCTAAGTGTTTCAGATGAGTTTGAAGATATCTGATTATCCTTTAGTACAGTAGCCCAAAGCGGACATAAGTCATTTCTATTTGCCCGTTTTTTTCCCCCTTTTATTTCATTTTGTCTTTTATCTTCAGATCTAGAGACTACATCAGATGATATCCCCTAGGTTACTAAATATAAAAGTACTAAAAACAAATATAGGGGGGAGTGGGGTAAAATGAGCCATTTTTCATATTTCAGATCACTACATCAAGTCAATCATAGTTTTGTCTCTAACTAGTGTATCTGCATATATTTCAAGATGTGCATCCCTGCAAACCAACAGAATGAGTGTAAACATAACTGTCTTGATAATATAGCATGCTAAAAAAAAGTGGTCTCCTATGGTCAACTTATGCCGAGTATGTGGTAACTTGACAACAATCTGAACTGAAACTCTGATCCTCTCATCAGACTCCTTTACTTTCTCAGTTGGGCCACTGGTTCAGCTTACCCCAGAACTACTATTATGACTTTATTAGTCCTCTAAAGGTAAAATGATGGACTTTTATGCTACATTTTTGACCTCATGTTGGAGCTCATAGATACCACAATTGATGAATAAAACAAATTTAAAATGTTTTTTTTGGGTCTGAACACAATTCTTATAAAACTGATGACAGACTAAATTCACTTTCAAGAGTAAAAAAAGTTTTTTTGGAAATAAATGTCTAACCTCTTCACCCATGTGCTTCTAACCTTCACAGACTCCATGAATTGATGCCCATCTCCTAAATATTTGGTCACATGATCAATTTCTTTTACCATTTCCAAGCAAAAGGGGGTGGTTCAACTTAACCCACTCTCCCCTACAGTAGCTCCAAACAGACATAATTCAATTCATTCAGCCTGTTTTTCCTTTCATTTCATTTAGTCTTCTATCTCCGGATCTAGACATTACATCAGATGATATACCCCAAGTTACTAAATACAAAAGTACTAAAAACAAATATATGGTTAACTTACCTTACTGTGGAGCATGTCATGTGGTCCTCTGGCCAAGTGTTACAAAAATACACAAATGCAGAAATGTGAAGAACTGCAGTTCCTCAAATTTCCACTTGAGATCAACACAAAAGCTCTGGAAACCCCATTTCTCTTTTAGAATAGATTTTAAGGTTGTTTTGTTGGTTTTTAAAGCTCTCAATGGCTTTGGCCCATCTTATTTATCTGATCTGCTTTTACCTTATGAGCCAGGTCGAGCCCTCAGGTCTTCAGGAAGTTCTCTGTTAACAATACCTAAAGTTAAAACCAAGACATACAGCGAAGCTTCTTTTTATTACTACGGCCCCCGTCGATGGAACAGTTTACCTGAAGACCTGAGGACTGCACCTAATCTTAATGACTTAAAACCCAAACTCAAAACATACCTTTTTAGTCTTGCTTTTGACTAAATTTTATATCATTAACTTTGTTTAAGTGTTTTAGCATTTATCTCTTTCTAGTTTTGATGACAGGATCGTCTTTTATTGAGCTATTTTAGTGCTCTTATTTTAGTATCTTTCACTGTTGTTTTTATTTTATTTATTATTTCTTAAATTTCCTAAACATCCAGTGTTTACTTATCTTGAGTTTAAAAATGACGTTTCCTCAGTGCGCACATTCCTGTTTCCACCAAATCAAGCCCTTTTTAAGTTTATGCATTTTAATACTGATTCTGTTGCAATTAGATCATAGGGTGGGAATGAGGGGTTGAGCTGGGGTAGATTTGGGTATTCCTTGTTTCTTTTATTTCTGGGTTGGGGTAGATTTGGGTATTTTTGTTTATTTTATTCCTCTCTGTGTAAAGCACTTTGTGCTACATGGTTGTGTATGAAAAGTACTATATTAATAAAGACCGATTGATTGATTGATTAATTTACAACCATGTTCAAATTCACATTGTGATAGCAAAGTAATAGATGTTTACAGCCTGTTACATGACCTACAGGTGGACCGATTATCCTGTCAGCCATTTAATCAGTTCAGTTCATCCTCCTAATGGGGGTGATTAGTTTGAAGATATTTAGGCTACAAGCTATGCACACCAAATATAATTAGAGGAACAACTGACTTGCTTTAGAACTTCAGAACTCTGCTTTAGATAACAATGTTTCACATCTCTGAGATGCAACCTCCATGTTTCATGCAGTCTATGAGTCTGACCTATCATGGGGATCAGCAGAATATTTTGTATTATAGATTGCCACATAATTATAGTATCCTTACTTGAAAGCAAAGTTTATTTTATTGACATAATGGGATAAATTTATCCCTTACAAAAAGATGATCACTATCGTTAAGTGCATCAGTCAAAGTCTTGCAAAACAAGAAAGTACTTATTACAGGAAAACTGAGCAATTTAAAATATGTAGATATCTGCCTGTTTAGGGTTTCCAAACTTATAAATTTAATTATTTGAATAAGGTTTTGTGTGGTAGGCAGTGGGAGAGAGAGATGTTAATTCAAGATTATGCTTACTTTAACTTCACTTATTTCATTAAAAAGTACTTCACGCTCCTGTGAGGAACTTTTGGTAGGTCATGAACAGACTAAAATGGACATTATTACATTATAATTTGACAGCCTATAACTGCTGCCAGGGGTTAGGTACAATAAAGAAACAGCCTTTCTAACTTTTTGCAAATTTTCACAGTGAATGATAAATATCACTGTAACAAATTCCACTTTGTCCACAGGGGGTAGTACTGACTACAATCTATTAAATGCATGTGCAATATGAATCAATATTTTAAAAAAGTTGTATTATCGAAAATTATTGACAGAAACCACTGGGAAATGTAGCCACTGTCAGTAGTTATACAATGGTTAAATAACTCTATAAAGAATAATAATAAGAAGAACTTTATTCATCCCCGAAGGGAAATTCAAATTATTTAGTTATATAACAAGAGTGGAGAAAAAGTGTACGATCAGCCTACAACTTTAAATTTATCAAGCTGATGATATTTTTGCTTGTAACATTTTTTGTACGCACCTGTTTTGCCATTTCTTCCAAAGTAAAACAGTGAAACGTTTAGAACTTGTGATGTTTCATATTTACTTGTCTAGTTCAGATTTAAGCGAGGTTAATCCCTCAGGTTTATTCATCACGTGGATTAGACCATTTTAAAAGACAAGAAATACTGCTCTGCATAGTTTGTTTGGTGCTAAATAAACAAGGTTGATAAATTTCTACCTCATTGACTTTACATTCTACATAGTAAATCAGGAATTTAAAAGATGTGCATGTTAATTTGCAAGTCAAATGTGCTCCATGATTGTCCAGAACTGTCTTGTATATTTAGATCAACATCATAGACAGAGAGAAATTTACAGCTTTCAGCAGATGAATCAAAGCCAGCATCTGACTTTAGTGTCACACTCTGAGTAAACATCAACAGTCAACAAGAAGCAACACCAAAAACACATATTTTCATAGAGAGGGCTGATATAGGTCATGTTTATGAGCAGTTAAAGCTTACACTTTGAAATCTGACTTTGATTTTGAGTCACTAAATTAAAAAATCTCTCATCTCCAATTCAAAAGAAATTAAAAAATACAGCCTGAGAAGCATTGCTTTACTCAGTGTGAGAAAGTGGAGCAAAAGTGCTCTCTTGAAACCTCTACAGCGGATGAAACATGATAAAGTGCCCTTTATGATGTCCTATGGGGAGGGAAAATTTGATAAAGGGCCCTTTAGGGTGCCCTTCAAGAGAGGAAAACACGGGGCAGTGCCAAATCAGCCCTCTGCAATGAAATAACTCAGTTATAACAGGGATTTCTGTTTCTTGTTAAATACAATAGAACCTCTGCTGATATTTTCTATATGTGAATGTGAAATCTGTTCTCGGTTTGGGTTTGGGAAGTGTTCTGATTTTCCATGGTTAGTATTGATGAATCACATCTCTGCAGGATTTGTCATGTATAAAAACAGTCTTCAATCCTCCATTTAACAAGTAAACATTGACAAAATGATCTTCTTCAACTGCTGAGGACAGACCTAACAAATCTAGTATCGTGATGTTGGTATTTCAGCACATTTAAGACCCATTTAAGAATCTGTGTGTAACTTATCTTTACAGTGAAACTGAGACTCAGTAGAAGCAGATAAACAGTCTCTCACTTCTTTTGTGCAAATCTTCTATATTCACATGATTTAAAAAAGTACATCCAAATACATATGAGTTTCAGACGTTGCTATATGCTCCTTTTAGCATTACTTTGCAGGAGTGTTTCATGGCTGCACTCTTTTTGTTTGGTGAGAATAGTCTGGATCTCTTGTGCATAATTTTACGCATGTGTCCCCCGCAGTACAGCCTGACATAATAGGTATCTTTGGGATCTCCACTATAATTTACAGACACTTTTGTGGGTTTGAGCTACACATCGATGGACAGACTGAAGGTTCGGGGAGAGTTTAAGAAGTTAAATCATAGAGGAGTTTGACAACAGACAGATTTATTTTTCCTGCAGTTAAATGAGTTATTTAAGTAGACAGCGGCAGGATGTTTATCTTAACTGGTCAGGTTTGTTATACTTTGAGAAATTCTCTATAAAAACAATCAGATATGTGATGTGTTTGTCCTTATTTAAATTCCAGTCAACACTCACGATGTCTTCATGCCCTACACTATTAATCATGACAGCTTCCTGTGTTGCTGATCGGGCAGAATCATAGATGACCTTCAGTTCATCACTGTATTGTAAATTCAGAACTATGACACAGGCGTGTTATGACACAGCTGTAAAAA